GTATAACATGCAATTAATCATGATTAATCGCACTTGAACTCATGCGATTAATTTGATTAATATTTTTTTATATTTGCCCAGCCCTATTTAATACATTTCACTTTTCGTTTTGAATGCTCTGATTTTGAATGCATCTCCCCTCTTAGTGTGATTTAGCCTGCTCTCTATGCTAAGTTACTCCTCTTTCAGAGCACTGAATCAGTGTGCATCCCGCTAATGAAACTACTGCACTTCACATTTGTCAAGTGACTGTGTGCAGTTTTGTATCTTGTTTCTGTGTATGTTTGCAGAATAGTTGGGAGCAGGGGATGTACTGTATTTTCCGGGCTATTAGACGCGCTCTTAAGCCTTCAACCCTATCAAAAAACGACCTTGCGCCCACAATCCAGAGCGCCCCTTACAATAATCCACTCAGGTGTCCCAGCATGACTTCAGTAAACTACAAAGCCATACCACCCGCAACAACGCAAACACACACGGAGCAGACAGCGACCGCACAGCGAAACACACCCACAGACACACTCATCACTCCACGCCGACGAGGAACGGAACGGAGGAACGAACCGAAAAAGCGAGTCCAATGTGCCACTTCTAGACACGACTGAACAACTGAGTCACTGCGAACACGTCGACAATCCAGCGGTCCCAGACAACACCCTCCCTACACACCACAACTGAACAAAGCCCAGAGTCACCGTGAACGCAACAAACAAACAAAACCACTCACCCATCACACTGTTGTGTTTCCTTTAAAGTCCAGTGCGGTTTATTTGTGAAAAAAGTTTGAAAATAGAACATTTAATGACAGTGCACCTTATAATCCAGAGCGACTAACAGCCTTGTGGGCCGAGCATTGCACAGACATAACTCAAACATGCATGGATGACATCTAAAACCTCTTCAGACATGTTTTTGATGAGGGAGCGACGTTATAACATGGTAGAAAGCTCCAAAAATCCATTTTGCATTATACCCCCTCATTAATGTAACATACTAAATAATAAATAAAATGGAGGGTAGGTGTTCTGATGTTCTGGCTGTGATGTTCTTTGAGAGGGACATGTGTAACAGCACAAAGCAGCTCACCTCTCATGGTTCCAATTAGTCAGTTCCTTGTGTCAAAACTGTGTTAAAGCTCAGACTTCAACATCCTCCTCCTGATCACGTACACTCCATGTTCTACAAACAAGTTCCATACTCACTATATCTGTCTAAGCGCTCAGACGTTTGACCTGCCCCCGTCTCACTTACAGGGACATGAGGACACACCGATCCGTCCCTAACAGACCCGTGGAGATGCATGGGCTTTGTGTTAGTGCTAGGACCTGATCCCAACTGTACACACAGAGACTGCTCAGGTGTGTGGACTTTTGAGTAAATATTTCATCAAACAAATGCCCACAGACACTATGTAAAGCTCACATATTGTGTTTAATATTACAAAAACATTTAAGTTAAGTTAAAAGATGCACTTTAAATGAGTCAGGCACCCGCATGGACAAACAAGACCAAATACATGATGAGCAGTGGTGAGAAGGTGATTTTTAAAATGTATTCTCCTACAGATTACAAATTACATACCCCAAAATTTTGTTTTTAATGTAATCCATTCAATTATTTAAAGTAAGTAACGTAATCTGAATACTTTGGATTACTTGATTTGCTGTAGAGAAGCAAAGATGAGGAAATTGTAAAATAAGAATAAAAAGCCCAGACTTTACTCAACCAAATTAAAAATATTATTGATAGAAGAGGAGGAGACACGTCCACGCAGCATGAGTTAGTCCTGTTCAATCCCGTTTTAGTCCTGGTTTAGTCCTGGTTAAGACCTGGTTAAGACCTGGTTTAGTCCTGGTTAAGACCTGGTTTAGTCCTGGTTAAGACCTGGTGAAGACCTGGTTTAGTCCTGGTTTAGTACCTGTTTTAGTCCTGGTTAAGACCTGGTTTAGACCTGGTTTAGTCCTGGTTGAGACCTGGTTAAGACCTGGTTTAGTCCTGGTTGAGACCTGGTTTAGACCTGGTTAAGACCTGGTTTAGTCCTGGTTAAGACCTGGTTTAGACCTGGTTTAAGACCTGGTTTAGTCCTGGTTAAGACCTGGTTAAGACCTGGTTTAGACCTGGTTTAGACCTGGTTTAGACCTGGTTTAGACCCGGTTTAGACCTGGTTTAGACCTGGTTTAAACCTGGTTTAGATCTAGTTTAGATCTAGTTCAGACCTGGTTTATTTTCTGGCAATGAGTGGAATTACCAAAAAAATAAAAAATAAAATTCCGCCATGTAATCCATTTATTTAAGCAAAGTAACTGTAATCCAATTACCACTCACTGAAACAGTAACTGTAACTGAATACAGTTACTCATAATTTGTACTCTGATTACGTAACTCTGGTACATGTAATCTGTTACTCGCCAACACTGATGATGAGAAATGATGTCCTTTCATCAAATGACTCACAAATGCTTTTTGATCCTCATAGTTCCATTCTACCGTATTTTCCGCACTATTAGTCGCTCTGGATTATAAAACGCACTGTCATTAAATGGTCTATTTTTGAACTTTTCTCACAAATAAACAGCGTGGGACTTTAAAGGAAACCCAACAGTGTGATGGGTGAGTGGTTTTGTTTGTTTGGCTCGTTCACGGTGACTCTGGGCTTTGTTCAGTTGTGGCGTGTAGGGAGGGTGCTGTATATTATATTTGGACTTTTTACAGTATCGGTTATCAGCCTTAAATCTCCAACTCAGGCAGATATTTTGTTTTTGTTTCTCTGTATAAAGAACACACACCACTTTATTTGAGCACTTCATTGCTGAAAGGGTTGAAAAATGTGATTGCACTGTTCTCTTATAGGTCTGTGGTGAATTTGGAATAAATTAAAATCACAGAATTTGCAGAAAATAATCCAAATTAGGTCCCCAGATTGGGGCAAAAATATCGGCAGATCTTATTGGCTCTCAGTTTCTCTGGTTTTGGTATCAGGATCAACCATGAAAAACAAAACAAAACAAAAAAATACATATTAGTTGATAATTTGAACTGTACACACTTGGTTTGACTCACTAAAGTGTTGATAAGAGTTCTCCACCCGACCATCCAGTCAGGCACACTTCACACTGACACTAGATCACAACAGCCTTTACTCTGCTGCTCTCAGAGCTTTTATCAGCTGGTGTTGGAGGTCTCCTCTCACTCTCTGGAGCGAGTGTGTGTGGTGTGAAAACTCACATCTCTCAGAACACACAAAGAGCTCCTCACTTTGAATAAATCCAACAAACTCTTAAACACACAGAGACACGAGCAACTTGAACAACTAGCTCCCATTCATTTCATCTGCAGCTGGAGCAAACATATTCTCTGTATAATTAGTGGGAGACTAGAGGAAGTGGAGAGAAGAGTGAGAGACTGGAGGAAATGGAGAGGCCACCTGAGCATCGTAAAACTACAATTTATACAAATGACAGGAGTGATATCACCACGGCAACAGCCAATCAGAGAACACCTTTTAACAGAGACATGAGGCATTGTTTGAGGTGCTAAACTCACTTCTAATCAGCTTCACCAATAGTTCACTTCCTCTAATGGTCTGAAGAAAACACAAAAGTGAACTGAGCATGTGAAAGTGCTTCTGTCACCAGTGTAAAGATGCAGCACAGTGACTGTTCAGAGCCTCCAGATTAGAGATCAGGCTGTATACAGAAAGCACTTCTCTGAACTCTGTTTGCTCTGGCGTTTGCAGGACGTTACTTACAGCTGAGGGTGACTGGGTGTGTGTTTTGTTCCAGCCAAACTGTATTCATCGAGTGTCTGTTGTCCAGGGGGTGTGAACGTATGAAACATGATGAATCAATACCTTCTAGATCCTCTTGTGATGTATTCAGTGTGTACTTAAAACAGGAGAGGAGGAACCAAATCTCACAAAATTTTGCATTCAAAAACTCACAAGAATCCATCTTGGCATACGCCCGCTACAGCGATAATCAACTGGGTGAACCAATAACGTCCACTGAAAACATGGCAAGGCTGACAGACATGTCTGTGTCAGACTGACAGTCTATTTTAGAAGAAATAAACACTTTTTAGTTTGTGAAAAACATAAAGAAGGAAAGTGCTTTGTGCATTTTGTGGAGGGAAAAATGTGTGTCTTTTCTCTCAACTGGATGCAACAAAAGTTAAGATTTTTTGGATTGTTCCTGTGTTGTGATGCTTCCACCAATCAAATTAAAATAATCATGTTGATTATTATGACCAAAATCTGATACTACAATCAATCTTGAATAACTCAAATAGATGTATAATGGACCTTGTCACTATCGATGACCGGGTTCAACTTCGTGCATTTTCTATTGTGATGTTTCTTATGAAAATATTATAGAGGCAAAACTCTGAACACACTTATACTGATAAAAACATCCATGTGGGGACACGGCACCAAACCCCCCAGGACACTTTGACATGTCTGCTGGAAAGAGACGCACAAACTGCAGACATCTGCCACAGTTAGCAACCGGCTCCACCAATCAGCCCCCAGGGAGAAGGGAGGGGGGCACCTAGGAAATAACCTTGGGCTAATCCCGACCAATAGGATTAGAGCCGACTGGAGCGGCCATGACACCTCTGTGTGTGCTGTGTGTGCTGTGTGTGCTGTGTGTGCTGTGTGTGCTGTGTGTGCTGTGTGTGCTGTGTGTGCTGCACATGACCCCTGTGTCATCCCCACAGCCTCAGACACAAGCACCTCTCAGAAATCATCTTATTTCAGTCATGTGACTTCATGTCCTGCTGATCGACTGGTCGACTAAAAAGGGACTGAGGCAAAAGCTCTCAAAACTCAAAACTTGTATCTGTGTAACTGACCAAAACTCAAGGAGGTCAGAGTCTCTTCACTGTAAAACAATCAAAATACCCAGGATTTGAATCAAATGAAGTCTAACATGAGAAGCCTGGTGTCTATGATCTATGAACCACTGCATTATGTAAGGCCTGTGCTGTGGTTTCAGCCCAACAGTCCTCACCTGAGACGTGGATATCTGGTGGACAAATGTCAGGGGACGGGGTGGACACTTGAGAAGGCTCCTCTGTGCAGATCTGAAAACAACACAGCGGGGTGTAAAAACATATGTTATATGCAGTAATAATAACGTTGACTCTGTGCTCTGACCTCGGGTGAGCGGATGTGCACTTTGAGGCGCCCAGCGGCTCTCTGGACCCCGTTGTGTAGAGACGTGGAGCTGGGGAACAGGCCTTCCCCGGGATGAAGGCGATCTCCACTGCACTGTCCTGTCTGAACACACAAACACACACACACACGTGAGTGCACCCAGACCATGTTATCTTGGCCTATTATCATTAGAGATATAATACTCCCTACAACAGAAGCATAGTCAGACTGGACCATATTAGACTGAAATGGACAACACTCTCACAGTGTCCTGGCTCCAGGTGCTGGGTTCTGCACTGATGTAAATCAACTTCTACAAAGTCATGTCTCTTCTCTTCCTCTTTTGTGCTGCTACACTTTATTCTACAACAACACTTGCACACACACTGTACCAGGAGCCTACAGGTATCCAGAATTAAACACTTTTAGCCATCACCATAGCAACAACAATGTCTGTCGCAGTAGACACAACGCCTTTCATTATGATAGCAACAACTGCTTTTGTCACCATAGGAAAATGTTTTAGTGTTAATGAGGTATAACACTCCTTACAACAGATAGCCAATTAAACGCTTTCAGAGGAGTTCAGATACAAGTGCACAGTATGAGTGAATGAGCTCTATATGCACCATATTTTACAAAATATAAGTTGCACTTTTTTCATGGTTTGGGTGTTTCCTACGACTTATACTCCAGTGCGACTTGTATATTAAGATGTTCACACTGCAGCCGTGAGAGTCAGTTTGTATCTGCTGCTCCTGTTCCTCCTGTACCACTGTCACTTGGCTCTACTGCGCATGTCTCCTGCAGAAAGAGCCTCTGTGTGCTGCGGCAAGTAGTGAAATATTCGGCCAAAAACAGTTATCGAGCAAAAAACGAAAGTTTGGAGTGTGTGAGAAACTTGTGAAGGACTGGCGAAAGGCAGGGATGGAGAACACAGCTTCATGACACCGGGAGGATGCACCATGACACTTTCCTGAAGTCACTGGATGGATGGACAAAACCTGGTCTTCAGTGACACCGAAACCATCCTGTCGGGATTCAGAAAGACCCGAAGAATTCTAACTGGAACTGATGCTGACTCTGATGACAGCGACACAGAAGAGGAAGCGGCGCTCTGTTTACCTCCGGAGGTCGAGGACGAGTTGTTCAGAAGTGACACCGAGGATGAAGAATTTAATGGATTTAGTGATTTGGAGTGAGATGGAGAGTTTGGTAAACTTGTTCTGTTCTGTTGTTTATGTTATAGTTTATCTGAAGAACTGTTCATATGTGACGTTAACAGTCTGTTCTTCTCTCTTCTGTTGTTTTTACTACAACTTCACTTTACACAGGAAATGTCAGTTTCTGGTCTCTGACTTTATAAAATAAATTTCCCCAAAAAATATGTTTTTTCTTGTTCATTATGCATTTTTTTTGGCTGGTGCCACTTATAGTATGAAAAATATGGTAAATGGTACGTCACTTACCCAGTGCTCTTGACTTTGTTAAGCATGCTCTTGGCCTCCTCATGGGTCACTCCGATCAGGGACTCTTTGTTGATGGCGATGAGCTGGTCTCCAGGCCTCAGACGCCCGTCCTGCACACACATACAAACATGTCACACTCCTTCTACTGAACATGTGTACCTCTCTGAGAGCAGAAGGTATTAGTCACTTTAGCAATCGAACAGAAATATGTCTTTAATTGTAGGGCAGACCCCAGTTACCCAGTAAAAGTGCAGAAATATCACTTTACTTCCTTTTGATTATATGTTTGTTCCATTTTTAATTTTGATATCCGTCCTTTTACAGCATTTTGAGATTGTTTTTTGTTTTTTTTTGTTTTTTTATAACCAATAATCTGACATCCAAATTCAAAACAACATTAAAAAATATTACTGTTAACTCATCAATACATTGCCCAGAGTTACAGTACACACTTTAGGACACTGTATCTATTTTTTACAAGACCATGTGAGACACAGAATAATACCGGATGTCTGTCCCTCAACCAGATGACTCGTTCACTTGACTCGTTCTACAGTAAAGTATGTCAGAAACTGAAATGAGAGCAGGTCCATGCAGCATATCCCCAGTGCGCTCATGAGCTCAGCTTGAGCTCTCTTTGTGTTCCCTCTGTCACAGAAATCCTCCACACATAATCCCCCTGACTCAGCCACAACACACACATGTGGCTTCCAATGGGCAACTGTCACCACAGGAACTGCTGTCACCATAGCAACAGACATTTCTGTCACCATAGCAACAGACGTTTCTGTCACCATAGCAACAGACGTTTCTGTCACCATAGTAACAAATGTTTCTGTCACCATAGTAACAAATGTTTCTGTCACCATAGCAACAGACATTTCTGTCACCATAGTATCAATTTCTGTCACCATAGTAACAAATGTTTCTGTCACCATAGCAACAGACATTTCTGTTACCATAGCAACAGACATTTCTGTTACCATAGCAACAAAGGTTTAGTCCTCGTGCACGTGAATGTGAATGTAGTGAGTGGGATTGTTGTGTTTGTGTTGTGTTGTGTTTTGTTGTGTTTGCTTGTGTGTTGTGTTGTGTTGTGTTGTTTGCGTGTGTTGTGTTTTGTTGTGTTTGTGTTGTGTTTTGTTGTGTTTGCGTGTTGTGTGTTGTGTTGTGTTTTGTTGTGTTTGCGTGTGTTGTGTTTTGTTGTGTTTGTGTTGTGTTTTGTTGTGTTTGCGTGTGTTGTGTTTTGTTGTGTTTGTGTTGTGTTTTGTTGTGTTTGTGTGTGTTGTGTTTGTGTTTTGTTGTGTTTACTTGTGTGTTGTGTTTTGTTGTGTTTGTGTTGTGTTTTGTTGTGTTTACTTGTGTTTGTGTTTGTTTGTTTGTTTGTGTTGTTGTTGTGTGTGTTGTGTTTGTGTTTTGTGTTTTGTGTTTGCGTGTGTTGTGTTTGTGTGTGTTGTGTTTGTTTTGTTGTGTTTCTTGTGTGTGTGTGTGTTTGTGTTGTGTGTGTTGTGTTGTGTTTACTTGTGTTTGTGTTTTGTTGTGTTTGTGTGTGTTGTGTTGTGTTGTGTTGTGTTTACTTGTGTGTTGTGTTGCAGTGCTTGTATAGAGCTGTATGTAGAGTCTGGGTTGGAGGCGTGCAGGGGAGGTGAGGGCTGTGGAGGATAGGATTGGAGACATCAGAGGAACAGTGTGCTCTGCTCCTGTCAGGACAACACCACTGAGCCATTCATGTGCCAATGTGCTGCGCTGTGTTTAAGCCCCCGCTCCGCCAGCTCACCACCAGCACACCAGCTCTGACAATCTGCAAGACTTAACCCACCATGTCACACTGCCGCTAACACAAAACACATCATGTCATTTGGTGCACTATGTGACTTTTTTGTCACATACTTGTTTCCATGGATATATCAATGCTTTGCTTAGAATGTTCTACCCTATGGCATTAAATCTAATCTATCTCCCATTTATTCAAATACAGACGTTTTTCATGCAACAAAAACTTGCAGCATTACTGTATACAGTACAAGGTCACCTCTCCACAGATTTAACCTGTAAACTGCCCTGGTGGTGTTACCTGCTTTTCCAGAGAATGGAATCATGACAATCTGTTGCTGTTAGCCCTGTTCAGCCCTTTCACAGACAACACATCTGGGTGAGCTGTGGGTGCTCATGTACACATGTCAGTACAGTTCAGTGTACTCACTGATGTGTTCTGTATTTGAACACAGGAGGAAGATATCGCCTCTTTGACTGTATCACTTTGACTTAAAACTCCCATGTTCACCTCCACTGGTACAGGACCACTGTGACCTACATGCTTCATTCTCCATTTGTATTCTTTTATTCAGTGACACATGTAAGATTCATCAGCTGCGAGTTGTCATTTTGATACAAATATTTTGATACACACATTTTTGTTAGTGTGATGTACAGCTATCCATGTGAGGGGCCAACAGTTACACAGCACTTTGTTGTGGTGACGTTTACAGCAACGCCAGCTCCCACTGGGCATCACAGTTTTCTGATGCTGAAGTCACGGCATGTGTTTCTTTTATAACATTGTTTTAGATGAATATTGCAGTGTATCAGTGTTGGTGCTAAGCCTCTCACACTCACCCTGTGGCAGTCCCCTCCGGACAACACCTCCTGGATGAAGACGGCGGGCCCGTCAGGCCGGTTGGAGCCTCCTCCAATGGTGATGCCCAGGCTGCAGGAGCGGGCCACAGAAATGAGCTGGATCACCCCCTCCCCTGGGTGACTGTGGATGAGGCAGAACATAACATAATAATGTTTTGTATTTCAGTGGTGTCTTTCATTATTCATTCACTCCACACTCTGTGGTGGTAAGAGACTACTGTAGCCACAGCTGCCCTGGGACAGACTGAGGGAAACAGGGCAGCCAATCTATGCCCTTCACACTACTAACACTCAGACACCACATTCATACTAGGCAATGTGGGTGAAGTGTATTGCCTAAAGACACAATGACAGAACTTGGTCTGAGTATAAAATCAGTCCTCCGACCTTCAGGTTGGGGACCATTATGTACACTGTAAAACAGAAATGAACTAAGGGAGTGTGACATCACCCATGGCATTCGATAAGGCTCACTGAGGTCGGCAGTTGCAGGGGCAAGACAAATTCCATATTTGGAATTCCAACCTCGAGTATCATAGCAACCAAAGAGCCATTAAGAAGGGAGGCTGTTGATCCCCTGGACACATCTCTGTTTTTTTATTTATTTATTCAGGCAATCTCTCTTTTAGATGAAGCTGGAGCCAGTATTCTCTAACCAGTACATGATATTTCACAGTAAATACCAAAATAAAAAATTGTCATATTTAAACATCATGGCAAAAATGTCCTACGATTTAGCCAACCACATCATCTGCATATTAACTAGAGACTAGAGAAGGATGGGAGGGCATCTGACAGACCTGAGTGATCGAAGCAGGGGGCCAGTGTTGTTGTATGTGTTTTGAGAGCCAGCTGGACTGAGCAGCAAAGGACTCTGGGAGCGGGAGGAAGAGCCTGAAGAGGTGCTGTCCAGGTAGCGCCCACCTGCACCACAACACACAACATATTATGAAACAAAATCAGGTGCATTCAGAATGTTATGTTTTTACTCATTATATTTACTTAATCCTGCTAAGTGGAATTAAGAATATTTATTCTGAGTAGTACGTCAAATACTTCAAATACTTCAAATCTTCATACTTATTTTTTATTTTTTTTACTTTTAAAGGAACTGTCTGTACCCTGTGTTTACAGTTTTATAAAAGGTATTTCTGGGTTGCACCAGGTTGCCAGTGTAGATAAAGGAAACATCATTCTCATTCTCAGTATATGTATCATGTGAAAGATCAGAACCTTCAGAATTCCCTGTGTGAGCTGCAGAGGCTGCACTAGCTCTGACTCATGACTGGCTGTGAAGTGACCAATCAGATCAGAGGCATTTTAGGTTTAAACCAGTGCTTCTCAATTATTTTCTGGCACACGCTCTTTAGGAAGAAGAAAAACAATTGCGCCCCTCCACTCATGTGTCCATCGTACTCCGCACTGCGCTCACCTGTGACATAAGGCCAGTGTTGGGGAGTAACAGATTACATGTACCAAAGTTACATAATCAGAGTACAAATTATGAGTAACTGTATTCAGTTACAGTTACTGTTTCAGTGAGTGGTAATTGGATTGGTTACTTTGTTGGAATAAATGGATTACACAGAGGTATTTTCCTGTTTTCACATTTTGGGCTAAACCAGGACTAAAACCAGGACTAAAACCAGGTCTAAAACCAGGACTAAACCAGGACTAAACCAGGACTAAACCAGGACTAAAACCAGGACTAAACCAGGACTAAACCAAGTGTAAAACCAGGTTTAAACCAGGTCTAAACCAGGACTAAACCAGGACTAAACCAGGAATAAACCAGGACTAAACCAAGTGTAAAACCAGGACTAAACCAGGTTAAACAATATGAAACCAACAGTATGGTGAACATAATTTAAGGTGATTTCATATAAAAATCATTTCTCTATCAATATTTTTAAAACGGTTAAGTAAAGTCTGGGCTTTTTATTGTCTTTAAGCAGATAAAACATCTTATGTTAAGATCCTCGTCTTTGTTTCTCTACAGTAAACAAAAGTCTGTTCATGGAGACTTGGGCTCAACAGACAATTTGAAGAACAAACAAGAATTTTCAGGATGTGGTTGTTACATTCATGTAGTTTTAAAAAACATGACAATATCAAGTAATCCAAAGTATTCAGATTACATTACTCACTTTAAGTAATTTAATGGATTCCATTACAAACTACATTTTGGTGTATGTAATCTGTAATCTGTAGGGGAATACATTTTAAAAGTAACCTTCCTAACACTGCATAAGGCACTCTGCTCCTGTGTATTGTCTTTAAAGATGATGTCCGTGTTATAATTCTGGGCGCTTGTGTCATCCAGCGTAACAGAAACCATGTCTAATGCTGCAGCGGGATCAGATCCTCTGCTGTGGTGTGGGTTTCAGAGCTCGCTGGTTTACTGAAGTAGCATTCACAGAGCGGGATGATTGTTGGCAATATTCGGCACGTTTTTACTGAATAAACTCAAGCATCTTATCAGCGTGATTGTGGTGTAATGTCTTTAAGTGATGGTGTAATTTATTTGGCTTCCTGCTGTCCACTGCCAACATGTTTAGACACAGTAAACATTCCGGTCTATCCTCGTTTCCCACCGTAGTCACAGTGAAGCCGAGAGCTACATACACTTTACATACAGAAAACCTGACACTATAGCACTAATACTCCCTGCACACACTCTGACAATGAGAGTGTCACTGCCAACTACTCTAGTGGATGTGCAATTAAACTATTCTATTATGTTAAAAAAAAAAAGCAAGTTCCCTGATGTTTCTGTAAAACGTAAACAAGTGTACACAAAACTGCATTAAACACATTATTATACTGAATGTATATTGAAAAAAAGGAAAGCAGAGTACAGGAAATGTCTGTAGTGCGGTGGTACAGACAACCAATCACAGCCCTTTTTGTCTGCGTCGCTTCCTCCTGCTGTCTGTGTCCTTTTGACGTGTAGTTACAGTCCAGTGTCAAATCACTGTGCAGGACTCTGATATGATGTAAGTTTCTGTGATGTTTACAAATGTTCATGTGCCCTGAAACTTGATTTGAAAAAAAAAATGTGGAAGAAATTGAAATCGCAATAGGTGAGTTTCAGCTAACCTCATTGTTATTAAAAGCCCGCGTTGCATGCTGGGAAATATTTTGGTCAGAGGCAAGAAACATGATAGCGGTCAAACACAGTGTGTAACCTTGCGTTTTTCTCCCCGATAATGGTAAATTCCTGCTGCATTATCAGATGCACAAATAGAAGTCTTTTTCGTATTCTGAGTGAAAAGAAAGGCTAAAGGTGAATTAATGGTTTTCAAACATTCGCAGAGCAAACGTAGAAGATCCTAACAAACCGTGGACTCCAACAAGTTCAACAACACATCAAGACTCTTGGAGGTTTTCATCTTTTCTGCTGTGAATGGCCCAGGAGTTTCCACCAAGTCATTGTGGATATCGCCAAAGTAAATATTTGTCCAGGTAGTTGGTGATTCTGACCAGAAATTTGGTTTGGTTTCACCTTTTGTCGGGGTTGAAAAGGGTGATTTCGTCCGTCGATGCTTATGACCAATTTCTGGTCAAATGGTCTTGGGTCCTCTGCTGTTAGAGTGGATAAATAATTGGGATCAATACCCTTTACGTGCTTTCTCGCTCCGTCCGTCATGTTGAATTAGTGTTTCTTGCCGCCGACCAAAATAATTCCCAGCATGCAACACGCGCTTTTGTCAACAATGAAACTTGCCTATATCTGCCAGAAAAATTGCAGTTCAATATTTTCTTAAAATCGTTCAGGGCTGTGAAGCGGAGAAGGGACAGGGACAGGAGACGCCTCTTTTGTTTGTGAGATGATGGACATGTGTATGTCTTTGTGTCTGTGTGTGTGTGTACATGTGTGTGTGTATATGTGTGTGTGTGTGTGTACATGTGTGCGTGTGTGTGCGTGTGTATAAGCTCATATAAGGACAGCTCTGCTGGGCCTGGTTAAAGCCTCTGGACACACAGCTGGACGGACACATGTGAGATTGTGTAACAGGCCACTGCACTCTTCATAAGCCATTTATACTGACTGCTCCACTCCAACTTCCCCGATAAGAAATGTCCCACTGCTGCGTCTACACAGTAACATACACACATCTTATACAGTTTTCCCTCCTCTGCCAGGATGTGTGGGGTTTAAATCTCAATCCGACACCCAGTCACACAGTGTTCCAATTTAAAGAGGGAGTATTACACTTCTGTGCAATGGCGGCTGGTCAATAGAGGGTGCAAGTGTGCCGGACCCCCTGACTTGACCTACATAAAAAATGTATAATGTTGATATTTTGTATTAGGCTTTGTGTTTATTTTTTTTTTTTTAATGGATCGTGTATGTGCATATACATATGTTTATCATGTTACATGTGCTCATATCACTTTATTTGATTTATGCTCTTGCCCTTTGAGTTCACTGGGCCAAAGCGACAAAGTGCAGTTCTATTGGAGAGCCTGAAGTTTGGAGGAAATTTGACGTCATTACGTTGCTTCTGCCCATTACTTTACACTACAGCCCTGAAGTACGTCTTAGGGGCGGAGCTCGGAGTGCACTCAAATCTCATGATTGGGCTTCATAAACATTTATCACTCACCTGACCTATTATGATTCAGCAGTGTACGTTTGGGTTCCATTTGACACACTGTAATTATTTCAAATCGAAAAGTCTGGGAACTAGAACTTCATTTGTTGTGAGGTGAAAGTGCTAAGCACACACAGTCTACACCTGAGCCTCAGAGTGCAGGCAGGACTGGGGGGTTTGGAGGTGGTACCGTTGGAGGTCTTGGTGTTGCTGGAGGGCTGGGTCCCATGGGGCTCCGTGCTCTGCTGGGTGGGGGAGGTCCGTGTGGAGCTTGTGCTACCGTTGGAGCCGTACTTCTCCATCAGCTCAGCAAATTCTCTCCTACAGAAATAAAAATAATAGATGCTGAAAAGGCTATTTTTAACATCATAGCACAAACCTTTATCAAAATCTCTACATTTGAATTTATTCGATTTTAAAATCAGTACGATTTAAGGACATTTTAAAATATACATTTTAAAATTTTTTTTTATATTTTTACTTAAGTAGATGTTTTTCATGTGATACTTTTACTTGAGTATTTTTTTGCTCCAGTATCTTATCTGTGCTTTTACTTAAGTAACATGATTGAGTCTATTAGTAATTGCATGTTTACAGCTATTAATATTGGAGCCGTATTGTCCATGTGCTCCTCCCGATTATCTGTTTTTTTCAGGTGAGACTTAATCCTGCTCTCCCCAGCCCCGCTCCCATCCCTGTCTAGCCCCTGTTTTGCTGTGTCCCTGTCCCTTCTGCCCCCCCTGTCCCTATCTAGCTCCTGTCCTGCTGCATCCCTGTCGCCTCTGCCCTCTCCTGGCTCGCTCCTGTCCCCTGTCCTGCCGTGTCCCTGTCGTCCTGGCTCGTGTGGCGTCCGGACAGATTAGTGGCGGATGATCCGTGAGCGCGCACACGCCAAACCCCTCTGTGCACCACAAGCCCAGTAGGCTATAAATGTGTTTTTCCTGGTGAGCGTAAACAAGTGTGAGAAGGTCAAGAAGTCTAGACTCCTGGAAAAACTGCACAAACGTGATGCTAACTGTAGACACTGCTCTGTCTGAAGAGCTGTTACTCAACTTTAATCTGAGTTTTATTTGAACACACCTGACCATCAAGAACTGACTGAGCTGGAAGTACAACAGGTGAACTTACGCTTAAACTAGTCCCTCACACACACTCACTCTCTGTTAGTAACAGTTTAGTGCAGCTCAAGTTCCTCTCACAGGACACTGAACACTTGGACTGATCACAGGCTCCTGAAAATGTGGTCTTTAAATCAATGTCGTATTTTTCTTGAATTTTCAGGCAATCTTAAAACTTTTATTTTGCCTTTTTTTTTGCGAATGTGTGCACACATACATGTATCAATACTAGAGATGGGCACTCGATTCAGTTTTCTTAATCGATCATCGGGAGAATTAACGATTGATTTTCGATTAATCTTTAAAATATTTATATTAAAATGATCATCATTATAATTATTATTAGTAATCTGCATAAATAAACTCAACTTTACGACATATAAATCATAATCACTCTAGAGCCACATCAGCCCGTTTGACATTATCATGTGTTTAATGCAGCTTTGACACTTTTGTTTATGTTTTACAGAAACAAAACTAAAAAACACATGACTCATTTATATGAACTATAAGCACTGAAAAAAACAGCTCTGTCCTTGTGTCGCTGATGCAGTTCAGCTTCTGTTGGACTAAAGGACACGACTCAGTGTTCTGTCTGTGACAGAGGGAAGATGATGATGATGATGATGATGATGGTGAGTGTGTTCTGTGTGTGTGTCGTGTTGGAGATGGTTCATGTTTTCAGACATCAGACGTGTGCAGGTCATGTCATTTATTTACTCACTTACTCACTTTGTTTATTTTGGTCACTTTATTTATTTTGGCTTCTGTTGTGATGAAAGGACTGAAAAGTGTTTGACTTTTGGACGCATGTGACTCAGCTTTATGTTGCAGTAACTGTGTTTTAGAGTTGGGCAGTATCCAAATTTTGATAGCGTTAAACCTTCTCAGGATTTTATAGTATACAGCATTACTGTAGTACCAAAATGTTTTAGTACGACTTTGTTAAGGTACAAAGCTGCACCGCTGCATGGTCCATGTGTACGACCTGCAGACTTATAATCTTTGAAAAGTTTCACATGAACCATCTCCAACACGACACACACACAGAACACACTCACCATCAGCAGAACATCCCTCTGTCACAGAGAGAACACTCATATTCCACTGAGTCGTGTCCTTTAGTCCGACAGAAACTGAACTGCATCAGCGCACAAGAAAAGAACTGTTTTAATCAGTGCTTATAGTTTATGCAAATGAACCATGTGCTTTTAAGTTTTGTTTCAATAAAAAGTGAACAAATGTGTCCTGAAGCCACAATGCTGCCAAATTGCAGAAGTACTAGTATTTTTTTGGGGGGGGCAACTCTCTTGCAGCCAGACTTGTTGTCTTGTCTTGGTCTCCTTTATGGAGATCACGTGACAATGCAACAAAACTAACTAAACGTCGTCTCCCCACACAGTTAAAAAAACATTATAGACACTATTAGTTTGAAATGGTGATAGTATAACATTGAAAATACAACCACACATTCATTTGTGCTGAGCAAACACATTTAGGTATGAATAAATTATAATATTATATTAAGTCCTTATGCTCTGCAAAGTTTTTTTTAATGATGGTTATGAAACTGATGCTGTTGCTACTTTTTGACACCGTGGGGTACCATAATACCGTATAATCACCCAACTCTACTGTGTGCATGCACCATGACGAAACCAGGACGCTGAAAAACCCCGCTCATCGCCGGGACGATGATGTGCTGTAAACACACTCACTGAGTGGAACAGTGTCTCCAAGGAGCCAGAGTCCAAACGTGGGACTGTGAGGCCGAGATGCCAGTGTTTGTGTTAGACGCAGCCTCATCTCCTCACGCTCCACACAGCAACATACATTCAGTTTTTCAATTCAAAATGAACGTGATCAACAAAATTCTTAATGATCACTTATTGATTAGTCACTCATCATGGCCGTCTGTGATCAATACGCATCACTTTAGGAAACAGCTCCACTGCCTGGTTGCCTAAATAAATGTGAGTCTGCAGTCTTGTCCCTAGTGTCACTCAAACACTTTGATGCTGTGGTTACAAACTGCTTCACTGTCCTCTGCCCAGAGCCCTCACTCAGTTGTGCTCCATACTTTACACCCAGTATCTTCTTGAACTGGCTCGAATGGAGCTGAGCAGAGTACATTTACAAGTACATTTCATTTTTCTCATAAACATTCCTACAAAAATCATATTAAACGTTAGAAGGCTCAGGGCTAATCCGCTCTGTTGAGACGGGAACAAGACTTATGTAATGCCTACTGCAACGCTGTTTTAGTAGCTGGAGTGAAAAAAAAAAAAAAAAAAGTACCTGATTGGTCAATTATTAATGCTCATATCTTGATTTACGGACAAAAAACTGAAATAAAATACCAACATTTTAAGACCAAAATAGTTATTTAAATAGAATGTGAATTGTGAAATTATGTAAACTATGTTTTAGTAAAAATAGTTTTAAAATGTCCACCTAATTACCAGAGAATAAAAGACAAACTCTGCACACTAACGTAGATTTTATAGATGGATTTCTCTATTTTGGCACAGGCTCTTTCTTGCAAATGTGTTTTTGACTGGACTGACAAATGAAGTCATCAATATTCATGAGGCTAAAATGTGTAAATCCTCTGCTCATGTGCACACAGCCCCAGCAGCTCAGAGCTCACACTTCCTCCTCTAATGTTCTATGTTACAAAGAAGAAGTACTCCATTTTGTTACTTAAGTAAAAGTACAGATACTGGAACAATACTCATGTAAAAGTAAAAGTGAATCTAGTAAACTAACAGTATTAAAGTACCTGTTTAAGTAAAAGTATTTTACACAGACTTTGAGGTCTTTATACTGGCCTAGCCCCGCCCACTGTGTGATGTCAGAAACGTGCAGTTCTGACCAATCAGAGTGCTTGCTGCTAGAGCCAGTGTGGGCTCAGAGCAGGGCTACACTAAATCTTAGAAATAGTCCAATGAGGTTCATTTGGTCTTCTGATAATTTATGTTATTAGATTCTTTTTCCAGACCAAGAGTTTGTTTTCCTCCTGACAGTTTCAACTGCCAAAACCTGACCAGACACATCACAGCAACATCAACATCATGTGACCATGAGCGCGAGTCACCAGTTCAAACTGTCAGTTCCTTTAATGGACATGATTCAATTGAGGTTGCAAAGAGGTTTTAAGTCTTTTTCCCATATTTAGATTATCCATCCATGTTCTTCAGCTTATCCAGGCCGGGTCGTGGAGGCATCAGTCTAAGCAGGGACTCTCAGACTTCTTTCACCCCAGACACTTCCTCCAGCTCCTCCGTGGGGACCCCGAGTTGATCCCAGGCCAGCCCAGAGACATAGTCCCTCCATCGTGTCCTCGGTCTTCCCCGGGGCCTCCTCCTGGAGGCATCCGGAACAGATGCCTGAACCACCTCAACTGGCTCCTCTCGACATGGAGAAGCAGCGGCTCTACTCCGAGCTCCTCCCGTGTGACTGAGCTCCTCACCCTATCTTTAAGGGAGCACCCAGCCACCCTGCGGAGGAAACTCATTTCGACCGCCATGTTTAGATTATTTTCTTATAATTAGGGCTCAGTCAATATATGTGTTATATGTTATAACTCGTTATAAAGCTTAAACTCTCTGTATCATTTCCATTTAATCCAATTTACAGACAGATAAATATCCTAATATGTGTCACTGCATCAGTATTTATCAGAGTCATTTGTCTCTGACATTGGCCTCGTGTAAAGTGACTATAGTGGTTGTATATATGTTTTTGGACTTGCATTTATTACGTAAATGAGCTGTGAATAGAGGTGTGAATGATCGGTATTTACACATATAATTAATTACCACGTGCACATGTATTTAGCACTAAAGGCTGATAGAGGTAGTTTACTTACATGACATTGTGATGCAAACATTCCATTAGTCCTACATACTGTCTGTAAATATGACAGTAAAGAGACAGAAGAACAATAAATGTTGCTGGGTTTAAATAAACCCAGTTTAAAATCCAAATGGAGCCAGACCTAAGTTTTATAATCAACTGAAGATTTATAGTGAATTTTTACATCACTAAATATATCGACTTTTATTTCAGCTATGGGCATCTCCAGCTCCTGTTTTATCAGTATCATATCGGCTGCAAAAAATCATAATCGGTCAGGCCATATTTATAATTAACAATGCACATAAACATATAATCAATATTCTATTTTATGCAAATCTTCAAAGCACATTTTTCATAATATCTTGTACTTCTCTACCCTTCACTTCTACAAGCAGCTACTGATCTTAGCCTGATTCCCTGTGCTTGTGTGTGAGACTTACTTGGCCTCCTCGTCTCGTGCGATCAGGAGTCTCATGTGGTTGGTGGCAGATGCGGCTCTCAGGATGTCCACGGCTCTGGAAGAGGAGGAGCAGGTCAGTGTGGAGAGACAGGTACTGCACACGGAGGTTCAAGCTCACCACACTCTGATGAATACATGATTTCTCCACATGTCAAATGTTTTAAAGGTCTATGTTGTAATTGTGTTGCCTCATCAAAAAATATACCTGGACTTATGTTTAGTTTCATTCATTCATTTCATCATGTTTGAGTAATCCTGCAATGCAGCCGTCTCGAAAGCTCTAAATGTTCTGTTTCACTTTGTGATGTCATGAAGCAGCAGTTTTCAAATGAACTTTTACCTTTAGTTCAGTAAAGATTGGCAATTCCAGGGCTGAAATTCACCAAATGATTCTAGTGAGTGGAACACTTCCTGTATAGGCGAGTTTCAGGTGACTTCATTGTTATTAAAAGCCCGTGTTGCATGCTGGGAAATATTTTGGTCGGAGGCAAGAAACACCATAGCGGTCAAACACAGTGCGTAACCTCGTGTATTTCTCCCCGATAATGGTAAATTCCTGCTGCATTATTGGATGCACAAATAGACGCACGGAAGAAGGAAAAAGTCTTTTTCGTGTTCTGAGTGAAAAGAACCGCTAACGGTGAATTAAACGGCTTTCAAACATTCGCAGAACAAACGTAGAAGATCCTAACAAACCGTGGACTCCAACAAGTTCAACAACACATCGAGACTCTTGGAGGTTTTCATCTTTTCTGCTGTGAATGGCCCAGGAGTTTCCACCAAGTCATTGTGGATATCGCCAAAGTGAATATTTGTCCAGGTAGTTGGCGATTCTGACCAGAAATTTGGTTTGGTCCACCTTTTGTTGGGGTTGAAAAAGGTGATTTGGCATCCATCAATGGTTTACCTGCTTTCTCGCTCCGTCCGTCATGTTGAATTAGTGTTTCTTGCCGCCGACCAAAATAATTCCCAGCATGCAGCACGCTTTTGTCAACAATGAAACTCGCCTATTACTATATGACATCACAAGGTGGAGCAGAGTGTTTTCAGTGTCAGCCTAAATATGCAGGGTTTGTGTTAAACGTGATTGAAACAAAACACAACTCCAGGTATTTCAGGTATGTTCCACTTATAGTAAGCAACATTTAAAGGACATGCAAAAAGCACAGTCTGATGTGAGTGATCAGAAGGCCCATGATCAGAAAGACGTTTCATTTGAATCACCTTTTAGGTCCAAAATCAGACCATAGTCCCATTTAGAGTGTGTGGAACCACAGTCACTGTGACAAGTCTGCCAGACATGTGCTCTTTCACTCTACTAAGGTGCAAAATAAACACAAGCTTGTTTTTGTTTTGTTTTTTAGAAAATATCTGTCCTTACTCTGAGTGGGCTTGCATCTCCACAAACCTGACTCTTTCTTGGCCTTCTACTGCTTGTTTCCAGGGAAATGTTGTTTCTTTAACAGTATGACACAAATTATGAACAATGTTCTATTTCCATAAAAGCACTGAACCACCACCAGAAAGTTACAATACTGTACCTTTAAAACAAACAGTGTCATCAGTGATAGTTTTGACTGAGAAACAGTTGTAAGGGCTGTTCACTCTGTACACGTCTGGTGTGAACAAGACAAATGATTTACAGGTTTACTTTATGCAAATACAAGCTGATGTGTGAATAAAGTTCTGCAGTGTGAATGATGTGAATTGGGCAGCACAATTCGTGCATTTTGAGTGGCGCAAAATGAGCGAAACTGTCATTGACGCACAAATTCCCAAAAGGGAGGGGTTCACGAACTTCACCAAAGTTGAAAATTTTGAACTTTCTGCAAATATTCGTCAACCCATCAGGTGTCGTGTTCTGATGGTGACGTATAACGCTGACACAGACGTGAACTTTCAGTCAACATGGAGAAGACACTCATTGTTGCCGTGGGAAATCTACACCAGTCTCTGTCCCGGTCTAGGTCCTGGTCTCTGTCCCGGTCTCGGTCCTGGTCTCGATCCCTGTCTGGTCCCGGTCTCAGTGCTGGTCAAATCGGCCATTTTTCAAACTGCAAACAGCAGGTGGAGAGGACACTGCACAGCCGCAGTTGATCTTCTGGTGCGAACAGAGCAAATTGTGCAGATTTATTCATGCCACCAAATTCCCAAACTCGAGCGACCTGGACGTGCGAATGAAGCGAATGACTCAAAAAAGTCAAATGGCAAACTAGAGGCGTCTGACGCAGTTTGTTGGCACCAGACTCGTGCTGTGTGAACACGTCTTTAGACAACTGCTTCTCACACATCACATGTGTGACATTTATTGGTTTAGAATACGACAAAATAATTGTATTTTAAGAACTAAGTTAAGTTAAAGGTACACTGCGTAAGTGTTTTAGAGGGGGGTATGCCACCTGATATTATTGTTTTGCTTGGAATATTCCACAGTATGACATTAAAAACATCAATCAAGAATTAATTTTTATTACAAGTGTCTTTAGTGATGAAAAATACATTAAACACATGGATTCTTATGATGTTCAGGGTCAACTCTCCACAGACTTAACTTGTAACTTGACCTGGTAGCACCACCTCCATGCTGATACATCAGGTGAATGACATAGTGTGGATCATTCTTGCAGCAGTAACGTGTCCATGGACAAGCTGGTGGTGCAAACTTAACCAGTGTATAGTATATATATATATATATATATATATATATATATATATATATATATATATATATATATATATATATATAGTGCACTTTTGGTGTTTAGTGTCACAGGCCACACTGAACCTTGTTAGTGTGGAGTGGTGCTAAGTGCTTGCACAGGAGAGAGGGACGTACCGGTCACTGGTCACTCCCACCAGACTGTCCCCGTTCACCTCCAGAATCTGGTCTCCGGGCAGGAGATTCCCTGGGCACACACACATGCACACATCAATTCATATTTTATATTGATATCCTGAACATAAACAATACAGACTTTTAATAACTGTCATAAAAAAGTCTAGGTCTTGCTTCTGCTTCACATGTTTTTACAGACAGAGGCTTGGCGCTTTAAAACCACCCAGGCTCATTAGAATAAGACTGCACAGTCTTACAGCGCACTGTGATTGGTTAAATCTGCTGTCACCCGATCCAGGCATCAGGAGAAAGTGTCAAACCATTGACTTGATCCTATTACAATATAAACTGCTCACTCATAATATACTATTATGTCAGATATCTGTACAAATATGGACAGGGCAATATAGGAACAAAAGGATCTCACGTCTGTTAATGATAACATTTTTTTTAGCTTACACTTTGTTAATATTTAATTTCTGAAACTCAAAATGCTTCTCAATATCTTGTTTGGCCCCATATGCTTATGTGCATGTTTGACAACATCGTGGTTTGCTCCTAATGAGATGATGGATTGTGTCTTGTGGGATGCCCTCCCACATCTGTAAGGGCGTCACTGAGCTCCTGCAGAGTCTGAGGAGCAACCTGGGGGCGCCTGATGGACCCAAACATAATGTTCCAGAGGTGTTCTATCATTTTACAGGTGATTGTGAGGGTCACGTGTTCAGGGTGAATCTGTTTTCATCTGTGAAAAACACAGAGGGCCAGTGGTGGATTTGCCAGTTCTGGTGCCCATCTAGCAAATGCCAATGGATGCTGGGTGCTGAGCACAGGGCCCACTACAGGACACGGTGCCCTCAAGCCATCTTCATGAAGTCTGTTTGTGATTGTTTGAGCAGAGACATTCACACCAGTGTCCTGCTGCAACTCAAACTGGAAGGCACGGGCAGAGCTCGGCCTGTTCCTCTTACAGAAAAGAGCAGATATGGGTCCTACTGGTGGGTTGAGGACCTTCTACAGCCCTGTCCAGCTCTCCTAGAGGAACTGTCTGTCTCCTGAAATCTCCTCTATGTTCTGGAGATTGTGCTGGAGATACATTAAATCTCCTTGCAACAGCATGTTGGACAATCCGTGCAGCTGTAGGCTTAAGGAACAGCCTCATACTCCCAGTAGTGATGATCACTATAGCCAAAGCAGCACTAGTGGAAAACCTCCCAAAAAACACCAAGAGAGAGAAACTTAAAATGACCTCCACATGTAAAACCAGTCCTGTTTTAGGGGTTGTCTCATTGTTGTCATTTAGTGCATCTGAAGTTCATTTCCATCAAAAAAGGTGTCATCCTCCTGTGCCTAAGACATTGCCCTGTCCATGTTTGTATAGATGTCCAACATCACTTTTTCCACATTGAGGTTGTGATGTGACAGGGACAGGCCCAGTGGAGGCTCACAGTACATCCTCACATCACTTTAGTGTCATATTCCAAAAGCTTTAACTTAAAGATCCATGTAAAAAGACTCCACACATGCCCTCCACAGTGTGAGCAGTGCATCGTGTTTGTGGTACCATCACACGCGGCCAGCCCTCCAGGGAGAATGCGCTTGACGTAGACTCCAAACTCGTCTCCGGTCTGCTCCTTCACTCCCCCGATCACTTTGATCCCTAACACAAAAGGGACACAGACGACATGTCAGGGCACAACACGCTCCTAATACTATAACATAATACATAATACATAATATATATTATATACAGATTATACATATACATAAAACATAATATAACATTGTTCCCTCATGAAAAACATGCCTGGAGGTTTTATATGGTGTCCATGCATGTTTGAGTAATTTAGCAATCCTACTATTCAAACCCTCCTTACAGTTAACAGTACAAGCCTGTACAAATAAGCCTTCATCACCCATGCTCCCGCACAACTATTCTCTATAAATACACAACAGTATGATACTATGATACTGCAACTTCTCAAACCTGATGTGCTGTGTAGCAGTAGTAGGAGTAAGTCTGAGTTTGATAAAATGGTTAATTGGTTAAACATGACATGTTCAAATCAAATGAAGCTTGTGTAAAAATGGTAATGCTGATTTATTCTTAGTTACTAAAACACTGGACACAATGGTCAAGTAGTTTATGTTATAAGCTGGTGTTTTGGTTCTAGATCAGGGGTGGGCAAACTACGGCCCGGGGGCCATATGCGGCCCTTTAAACCTTTTAATCCGGCCCGCCGAACTGGAATAAATTACAATAATAAACCTTGTTGATGTTTTATTTGTCATGCATTTCCAGCATTTCCCAGTAGATGGCGCACTATAGATACATTGAGTTGCGGCGTATTATGTTGGACGCAATGCTTTATGGGAAAGTGTTCTTACAGGAGTTATTCGGACCATGAGTGAAGTAGTTGGTGCTTAAGATATAAGACTGCACTGCTTCCAGTTTGAGTTGGTGGAAATCAATCAAGGAAACCTGTAATCTCTGGGTTGAAATTAATAATGTGAATAACACTTTGGAGTCAGGTTGTACCACAGTCACAGGTGTATATCTGTGGTTGTTTGGCGTGAGCTTTGTTTTTGAGCTGTTACCAGTCATATTTGAAAAAGGTGAACTCACGATATACATTCACTCGTGGTGTGCAGTGGAACAGGTCTCAACAGTTTTATGTGTTCTGAATCTTTCACAGCAGTGATGAAACATGTAGCCCGCATCTGAAGTCCTAGGTAAATGTGAATAAGAATGTAATGAATCTGAGCTCTTAACACGTTGTGTCCTGTTTTCTGTCCGGCCCTTCAGTCAAACTTTAGGACCCTATGTGGCCCGCGAGCCAGAAAGTTTGCCCACCCCTGTTCTAGATGATTATCCAATCAGAAAGCAGAAAGAGTCTCTCATTGCCAGTTGCCAGTTTCAATGCTGAAAATTAAACCTAAAATGTCTGATCTGATCTGAATGGTCTCTACTTAAACCCCAGCACCTGCAGCCAGTCATGCATCAGTGCTAGTGCAGCCTCTGCAGCTCAGGGAGGGATCTGAGCATTCACATGAGGCATGTTCTGTCTATACACTGAGAGTGAAACAAACTTGGATGTGTCTCTCTCTGCAGGTTAGGACACAGACAATACAGGTTCAGCTGTGATACAGAGAAGCCAAAAAACAAAAACTGTCAACCAAACAGCACAAGTAAATGATACAATTCAAATGGCATCTTGTCTTGGACCTAATCTTTTCTCCAATGGAAACTGCACCTCATCCATCTGCCCTGAACTGGCATAGAAGCGTGTCCTTATGTAATACAAATCCACAGTGTACATATATAAAAATTCAAGGCATATAAATCCGTGGATGAAAGACGATTTAAAGGCAAAAATCTGTGTTGGAATGAAAATGAAACCTGAAAGCGCTCTCTCTCTTTCTCTCTCCTCCTCCTCCTCCCCTCAGTGAGAACATGCTATCAGGCACTTCTTCCAGGCCCTGGTATGGAACACAGTGAACTGTAATTGGCCCAGAATCCAAGGACAGGGGGTAATTATGGGATACAGAGACTTTAAAGAGACCCACACCACCCCCACAGCCCCCAGCCCCTGAGCCATCAGATAACCAACACTTTCATGTCTTTATTCTTGTTCTGCGGCTCTGAGGACATGTCCCTGAATGTGCACGTGAGGGAGTGCATGTTGGAGAGTGCATGTACGAGAGTGCATGTGGGGGAAGAATAGAATCTCATATAAATCACCACTTGACACATGACATTCTTTGGACTGGCTTAAGATTGAACTTGTATGGATTAAATTACACCTGTACAACACTGCTCCAACACTGTCCCAACACTGTCCCAACACTGCCCAACACTGTCCCAACACTGTCCCAACACTGCTCCAACACTGCTCCAACACTGCCCCAACACTGCCCAACACTGCCCAACAAACACTGTCCCACACACTGCTCCCACACTGTCCCAACACTGTCCCAACACTGCCCAACACTGCCCCAACACTGCCCCAACACTGTCCCAACACTGTCCCAACACTGCTCCAACACTGTCCAACACTGTCCCAACACTGTCCCAACACTGTCCCAACACTGCCCCAACACTGCTCCCAACACTGCCCCAACACTGTCCCAACACTGTCCCAACACTGTCCCAACACTGCCCCAACACTGTCCCAACACTGTCCCAACACTGCTCCAACACTGCCCCAACACTGCTCCAACACTGTCCCAACACTGTCCCAACACTGTCCCAACACTGCTCCCAACACTGTCCCAACACTGTCCCAACACTGAACACTGTCCCAACACTGCCCAACACTGTCCCAACACTGTCCCAAATTGGTAGTGAATATCGTGCTGATACTGAAAGATTTGCTCGATCAGGTATCAGTTTCATGATATTGGTTAAGTTGATATCCTGGTGGAGTCTTTATATTGTAATAAGATTATTTACAGGCTGATTTTGGCCTAGAAGGTCTCATCATGAACATCTGTACATACGAGGCTGTTCTTCCATGATGCCAAAGACAAATAACAAACTACAGTTATAAACTGGTATCGTTGAATATTGGGTATCTGCTGATCGTCAAGGGTCAGATATCTGAAGCTGAACTGAAAGAGTAGGATCAGTGCATTCCTAATAGTTTCTTAGTGAATACAACTTCTACTCTGTTTGAAGTACTTTCAAGTGAGTGATTGTTTATGGCCTTTTGAAGCAGCATCTAACAGCTCTTCAGGTGTACACTGATATCACCTGCTTATATTCACGTTCACGTTTACAGATGTTAGTTCACTTTTGGCAGATTTAGCCCATCCCACACATGCTGTATCTTAACGCTCAGACACTCCACAATGTAAGAGCTCTATTAACTTCATGTTTCAGTGGTTGAATAGAAATGAACGACTCAGGACTGTGTTGCACCACAGGAGCAAACAAACTGTCTTTTTCATCTTAACCTTTGTGACAGAAAACATTGTATTGAACTGCTGTACAGTTAGAATCTGTCACACACCTGGATTATTATTATACTTTGCAGATTATAAATATTGATAGAAAACAACGTAATAAAAGAAACAAGTCCACTGATTTCCGTCTTGGAAACCTGCAGTACACAATGGGAGCTGACTTCACCACAAACCTCATCACAACCTATGATCACCCATTAAAAATAAATAAAAATGTGACAGTGGGCATGTCCTGCTGAATACAGGAGAATAAAAATCACAATATACAACTTCAGACGGTCAATAAAAAGGAAACGTCTATAACATGGTTCTAAAAAGTTCAGTTTGCATAACAGGTCTGCTTTAAAGGTGCACTATGTAACTTTTCTGGTGGAGGGTACGCCACCTGTTTGTTGTCATGGCTGTGCAGGATTAGCCGGGGCTGCTGTGTCTTGGGCCCACACACACACACACACACACACACACAGACACACTGTGAAACGGGTCAGAGCTTTACACTGACCTACTTCTGTCCCACTGCCACACCTCACTCATGTGAACACAAGCACAGCCACAGCGCAGCCTGTTTTAGTCCTGCTTCAGTCCTTGTTCAATCCTGCTTCAGTCCTGTTTTAGTCCTGCTTCAGTCCTTGTTCAATCCTGTCTTTAGTCTGCTTCAGTCCTGTTTAGTCCTGCTTAGTCCTGCTTTAGTCCTGCTTCAGTCCTCAGTCCTGGTTCAGTCCTGTTTAGTCCTGCTTCAGTCTGGTTAGTCCTGGTTTAGTCCTGTTTTAGTCTGCTTCAGTCTAGTCCTGGTTTAGTCCTGCTTCAGTCCTGGTTCAGTCCTGCTTCAGTCCTGCTTTAGTCCTGGTTTAGTCCTGGTTTAGTCTTGCTTTAGTCCTGCTTTAGTCCTGGTTTAGTCCTGCTTCAGTCCTGTTTTAGTCCTGCTTTAGTCCTGCTTCAGTCCTGCTTTAGTCCTGGTTCAGAATCAGTCCTGGTTCAGACTTACCTAGACCGTTCTCACACTCGTTGAACTCCAGTGCATGCACAGCGCGGTCCACCCCGTATGGGCCCATGAGAGTCCTGCACAGACACACGGCACAGGGGACGTTGAGTATGTGAACTTACACAATCCATGTCAACATAAATACTAACACATTTGATTGTCTGTGTGGAGAAACGTGTCCTCTGCATTTGACCCACACTTCAATGTCACTGGGTTAAACCTGTCAGAAGCACAACCCATACTAGCCACAAAAACATGGGCAAGTTCGGTAAGACCCAAGAGACAATACACAGGTCAAAATATTGATACGTCAGTACATTATCAGTACTACGAGGAAAGCTTTAGGCCTTATTAACCCTCTCCAGGCAGGCGTTGCAGATTTGCAACAGTTAAATGCCAATTACCTACTTACTCCAAATCCATATTTTATGAGCTTTTTTTTACTCAGGAGCCTTTTTTCCCAGCCATGCTGATAAACGTGGATGATGCAGACTGTGCAAGAATGGTTACATACAAACGGCCAGAAGTGCAAAGTACTTTTGTTGTTTACAAAGGATAAAAATTGTTTCTTGTAGTACCACAAGAAAAAGTGATGTTGTTCTGCCACTGTAAAGCACTGATACACTGTGCTTTTGTTTTCATTGTTATGAAAAGTGGTTTACACATAAAGTTAGCGTTCATATCATTTTCAGTCTTCAGTGTTAATTTACCACACTGGACCAATGCTGCAAATCTGCAACATCCCAGAACACATTGGATGTGAAGGTCTCTCTCAAAAAAAAGTCAGGATTGTATATTACTGCCCCATATGATCATTTTCCCCAAATATCAGACTTTTTCCTGTTACTAAAATTTAATTTGAGCCTGAGATTGTTAAAACATACACAAACATTTCCTTGATTATTTTATTCTAATTATACTTACACATAACATTTTTGACATTCAAAAATTCCAGTCTTTGTGATTTGCTAATTGTGTCCATTGAAACTGTAATTTTGATTTGATTTCAATTAATCTTGCCTCTGTAGAACATGATAAGGATGTTCTCATTTTGACTTCCTCCATTATCTCCTCAACTACTTTTTAAAAGGAGTTATTTTACTTCTATGAAGTGCTAACACATAAAGTATTGAGATCACCCTGTGACCTTTTACTGTTGTGAAAATGCTGTATTCACCCAAAACAAAGTTTGAACACATTTTATAAGTTTCACTGTTGTTTTCCACACTCTGACATCTAAAACCTCTTCAGACATGTTTTTGATGGACCTTCTAACATGGTAGAAACTCTACAAAGTCAATTTTGCAAAACAGCCCTCTTTAATAACTACACCTTATTTAGCCTTAATAAAGCATGAATAAAGAGTTAATTAATAATGAACAAAGACGTAATTAACACTGATTCACGCTTAGTAAATGCTTAATAAAGCATAATTCGTCTTCACTTTAGAAAAGATCTTAAAAAGACTTAACTAAGAGATAACAGCTGCCTGAATTATCATTACATTGTATTATTAGTAAATCATTCTCTCATAGTTTACTAATGATTAATAAATGCTCAGATGGTTAGTTCATGAGTAATTAAGTATGAAATAATGATGAGTAACTATTTACAGCACAGGCAAATTAAGTGCAAGTGCTAATTCAGGTAGTAATTAAGTAATTACTAAGTGTGAATCATTATTAATTAAGTCTTTGTTCATTATTAATTAAGCCTTTGTTCATGCTTTACTTAGGCTAAATAAGGTGTAGTTATTATAAAGTGTTACCTTATACAAAACTGAATCTTGTGAGCGATGTTATAATTAGTGCTGTCATGCGATTAAAAAAATTGAGAGATTAATTAATTATGATCTGTAATTAATTAATCTAATTAATCTCTTTTTAATCTCACCTAAAAATTGCTGAGAAAAGTCTTCAATTTGAGGTATTTTCATTTAAATTCATTATTACATTATTGTGGCAGATCAAAAGACTGATATAGAACAAAAAAAGTGACTTTATAAAGTCATTTATTGTTTAACAAATCTCTCCAAATTGGCTGTTGAGCCCAAGTCTCCATGAATAAGAAACTGTTTGCTGTAAAGTAGCAAAGACGAGGAAATCTGAACATAATAACTTGTCTACTTAAAGACAATAAAAAGTCCAGTCTTTCCTTAACCATATTAAAAATATTATTGATAGAGAAATGTTTTTATATATGAGATCACTGGTTTTAGTCCTTGTTTTAGTCCTAGTCCTTTTAGACCTGGAATGGGTTAATCCTGGTTTTAGTCCTGGTTTAGTTCTGGTTAGTCCTGGTTTAGACCTGGTTTAGTTTAGTCCTGGTTTAGACCTGGTTTTAGTTCTGGTTTTAGTTCTGGTTTAGTCCTGTTAGTTCTGGTTTAGACTGGTTTAGACCTGGTTTAGTCTGGTTTTAGTTCTGGTTTTAGTCTGGTTAGTCCTGGTTTAGTTTAGTCCTGGTTAGTCCTGTGTTAGTCCTGGTTAGTCTTGGTGTTAGTTCTGGTTTAGAGGCGCACAGGAGGAAGCGCGGTTTACGCAGCGTACGCGAGAACAGTACGGGAAACAGCTGGTAACCGCGTGTTCTCAGGTTAATGACGATGATGAAGGTGTGTGTTTGTGTGTGTGTTTGTGTTTTGTTTGTGTGTGTTGTGTGTGCGTGTCCCCTCATGTGGCAGGTCACTATAGGACAGTAGTGCAGACATCATGAGCCTATGCAGGTTGTTTTCACCAGTGACATTTAAGTTGTAGGTGATTTTATATTTGTTATTTTCTTTTATATTTCACGTCGGGAGAATAATTTCCAAGACACGAATGTGTTTTTACCTGTGCACTGCTGACTCTGTTCTACTGGCTCTTCGACCTCGTCCATTGTGCGACTGACGCCGCCAACGTGAACATGACGTTTACATCGCTCTTACTGCGCGCGTTTTGTGTGGGTTTCCGGCAATGAGTGGAATTACCGAAATAAAAAAAATTATAAATGTGTTTTTTTTGTGTGTGTGTTGTTGTCCCAACAACACATAAAAACAGATTTTATAATAAAGCAACTTGCATACAGAAACAGTAAAGTTAGAGATTAAAACGCGATTAAAAAACATAACGCGCTAACTATGACTGTAATTAATTAATCGCAATTAACGCGATAATTTGACACCCCTAGTTATAATATTGGAGTTGTGTTTTGCTTCATTCACACATGAGTAAATGTTTATTATTAGTCTGTCTCATCTCCAAAGCTCCAAATGCTCTGTTCCACCTGATGATGTCATGAAGTGGTAGTTTTCAAGTGAACAGCTCCTTTTAGCTTTAGTTCAGTGGAGATCGACAATTCCAGGACTGAAATGATCCAGATGATTCTAGTGAAGGTGTGTGGAGTTTAAAAACAGAGTGGAGCTCTTCACACATTACCACATGACAGAAGAACTCAGCCTATATGTGCAGGGTTTGTGTGTTAAATGTGTGTGACTGAAACAAAACCCAACTCTGAGTCTGTGTGTGAAGTTTGGAAACAACATTAGAACACAGATCAGTGAGAGTAATAGCAGTAATAGATTTTTTTATACATGAATATCTTCTTTTAACACCCTGGAGTAAAACAGTGATGAAGTGAAGTGCTCAGTGATCATCTCCATGGGGGTGGTAGATTAGGATCCTTGTAGCCTCCCTCCTGCAGAGAGCTCAGGGACTGTGTGGTACAGGGGCCCATGAGCTGTGGGGGATTAGCCTCCCTGAGTTAAGAGGCTATGGCTCACTGTGCACGAGTTTAACACATGGGTCAATCTGTAGCATCGGCCATTCTAACACATACACACAACCAGGTCTGAGCGCTCGCCCACCCTCTGCGCTCGTCTGTTTGTCATTCTGACCTGGTTTGGCAGGACAGTACCTGTGGTCAATAAGTATCATAATTTTACATCAGTTTAGTGACAGTTTGTGAGAAAAAAATCATATGTAAATAGAGGTCCGTGGTCATATACTAGTCTTTTTTAATCGATACCTGCACAAATGAGTGTCTAATTTCAATACTCGTTTTAGTATCTGGCAGTTTAAACCATCTTATAACAAGATAAAGATGGTTGTCATGTATTTGTATTTGTCTAATCATAACTAGATCCAGCTTTTTTACTTCCAATACCAATTCCAATACTCAGCTTTAAGTAAATGAAAAATGAAGCATTCCTTAAAACAAAAATAAAACCAAACAATCACAAAGACAATGTCTAAATTAATAGGAATAACCATACCTTGCACTCAGAGGTTTCTTTTGCTAAACGACATGTCCAGACTAAATCTGACAATTAACAATTGTCGCATATTACTAGCAGGTCTTACAGCTGCCAAAAAAATTGTAATATGCCGGTGGAAATCAGTTCAACCTCTGACTGTGAGAGAATGGCTACTATCTTTCAGAGAAATCGTTCAACTGGAGTTTTCTGCTGATCGAATGCACGGAGCAAAAACCAAAAACATTTCTTGTTGGTCCAATCTGTTGATCAAACTGAGATCTGAATCTATTGTACAGTTGTTACCTGGAGATTTTTCATTATAATATATGTTCTTAGAATGTACACAATATGTATACTTTCATTTCACTTTCTATGTATGGTACATAACAAGTATGTATAACGCAATTTCTGCTCATGTCTTTTGACGGAGGAAATTTGCCGTGTTTTGTATAGAGGGAATATAAACCTGGATATGGTGTATTATATATGTATATATATATATATATATATATAATATATATATATATATATATATATATATATATATATATATATATATATATGTGTGTGTGTGTGTGTGTGTGTGTACATATGTATGTTGATGCCCATCAATAGGGAGTTTAAGGGTGGGGGGTGGGGGGGTTTAAAAGGGAGAAAAATGCAATGCTAACTGGAATATGTATAACTGCAAATAATAACACCTGAATAAAAATTTGATCACAAAAAAAAACAAAAAACAAAACTGATCTAAATGTGTTATGGAGCTGATGTTTATCTCTGAGGTAACTACAGAACAGCTTTGTATAAATAAAAGCTCAAACATGAGGCGTTCTACATCGATGTAAAAGC